TAATGGAAAATATAAATATCAGTTCTTGACTACACGTAGATATAAGCTTTATCTCGCCTATACATACCTATATTCGTTCTTCTGTTATTTTTTTAGCTTCACATCGTTATTTCCAGAACCTAGCGTTGGAGAAAGATATTCTTGTGATGGCCTATCATCGTTATTATCACCCCAATCCAACTCATAATTAGCGAAAAGAGAACCAAACTTTCGTTTTTGTTTATTTACCGTACTGTGGATATAAAAAACGACGCTGTGGCGAACTCCAGCAACGACCGGTAGATTTCCATGAACCAGGAGGTTGGATCGAAAAGCCACCGCTTGGCCTTGCTTAACATGAACGATTAATTTTAAATCCGGAAATGTCAGCTCTCCATCTTCGAAATTCCCAAGTGGACACACCATGCAAAGCGTATTTCGATGATCTTTTAGGTCACTATGAAACTGGGAGATCGTGTTATAGTTGATACAACGGTAGGAAAGGCACCGAATGATTTAGGAACGTTTGGCCCGAGATTGAGATTTTTCATATTGGTATGTAGGGTTGGATAGGTATTATGAAAATAATTGTTGACTATATCTGAGAATGGTTGGAGCCCTTGAATTAGTTCCTGAACGCACGCGAGATGTTCTTGGCAATGACTAGACGCAGTATTGGCAGTAGTGTAAGGTTCGTTGTTGCTATCGGTGAAACTGCAAAAATGTTCCATCATATTACTGGCGAATTGTTTAGAATGATGGGTGGGGTTGTTAAGGGTATGGTAAAAATAACGGTCAATTACATTCTGTGCATTTTTCGCAACTAGAGGATTGTGAGATCGAAGAAGTCGACGATTGTTTCCCCAAAAGCATTCTTAAAACATTGCGGTTTAAAGATGTGGCGTTAACCTTCAAGATCGATACCGTGCGCGACCTTTTTTGTTGTCTCTAGTGCAATATAGAGTTTATCCTTTTGAGTTCTTCTGAAACACTTCACGAATATTATGATTTCCAATCGGTTTATTCTGAGCTTCTTTGTGTTGGTATACATGCTCAACTTTAAACCAGAGGCGACGGCAATGATCCCGAAACTGTTTTCTGAAATTTGAACCGATGAAGAAACATGCCCAACGTGCAAATTCCCCTCATATTTTTTTTCGCTCCAAATCGAAACTCAGAGTTATTATAACCAAAAATTTCAGACTCCAGAAGACGCATAAAATCTGCAGGTATTACGAAGGTAGTTGATATTGATTGACTGTTTTGAGGTAGTTATTTTTCGCTAACATTATTTCTATACAGTTCCTTATATATAGCATCTGAAAGTATGTCTAACTGGGAATTGGAGAGTATATCGAGTTTTAGTGAATAAGTGTTATGCTTTATAACATGTGAGGGGAATAATCCTTTATTGATTGACTTTTTAACAATTTGTCTTTGTAATCTCTTCTCGAGAAACTTTTCCAGAATGTAAATTGAGGAGTTATAATATCGATAGGTTCAGAGTTATTAACCGTTTAAGATCGTTGGCTAAGAAATCCTCGGATATCCATAGGGAACGAATATATTCGCGCGATTGATCTTCTGTAGATAGACGCGCCTCCGCTTGGATTTTATGCTAAAGTAAAAAGGTATTAAAACTAAGTAATTGATCACGACCCTAACGAAATAAAGTTTTTTCGGTGGGTACAATTAAATCACTCTTTGCAATGTAGCTTAGTGGTTTTTAAACCGCGGAAAGTTTTCGCGACCTTTCTCTCCTCACTACGCCTTGCTTAGAGGACAACGACCACACCCGAGAAAAAGAATAGTCAAAAAGACACCCCCTAAAGGGTCAGAAAAAAAATATAAAGTGAAGCTCTTTCACACTTAGGGAGGGAACAGTCGGATCCTAGGCCTGCCTCGAAAGGCGATGACTGCCCCTAAACCCCACTTCATATTATCGTGCAATAAAAAAAATATCTTTCTCACGCTTTAGCCACTAAAATACCCATAACCACAATATATCTTTTATACTCACTTTTTTTGGGTCGTAGAATATCTCTGATCTTTCGTCGTCTGCTTGATTGTCTTGGTTGTTGATAGAATCGGGTGTGATGCCTTGGTCGTCGTTGGAATTGGGTGTAGTGAGTCCTTCGTCAATTGATTGGTTAGTGTATTCCGCAAGCTTTGCTTTCTTTATACGTCGTTGCTCCTTCCTTCGTAAATTCCGTTTGGTGGATTTCATAACACTGGTTCGTTTCGTTTACTGGCAGACGCGTCCATTACTTACTTAATTTTCGCACGACAGCCTGGAAACGTGGAACAAAAAAGTTTACGAGGTGGGAAATACACTACTCGACGAGCCGTCATCCGTATCGACGATTACCCAATCAAGATGAGGTAATTTCCTGTTAATTTCCTGGTGTGATCCATCCAATCAGAATAATTCAACTGTAGGAAAATTATTAACCAATTACATCACGTTATAATGAGCCTCAGGAGCGATGCGCGTGTAAAAACCAAAGAAATTCGGGTACCCATTGCCCGTTCTTATAACGGAGTTTAAAAAAGTATTTTATCGGACTTTGTGAATATTAAACAATCGCACAATCGCAACGCGCGTGACTAAATAATACAAATTGGCACAGTCGAAATGAGACTAAACGAAACCGTCTGCAAAAAACTACACGAACCAGGTAAAATGTTGGTGTATCACTTGCTTAAAGAATCAGTATTTTCATTATGCTCGTTAAAATTTACAGCATACTGGAGTTCGATTTCGGAGCCTTCGTTGATTACCTATTTGATTTACCTCTCACAAACAACAGAAGATTTACTCCAAAAGGACAAGATTCAAAGTAAATACATTTCGGAAATTACAAAAATAAAACGAAGCTACAGGGAAATGGATGAGCAATATAAAACAGTCGAAAAAGCTTTGGAAAGTTTTGCGGCAAGTCAGCTTTTATTGTGGTTCATGGTGTAGACATTCGTTTTGTTGCCCAATAGCTTCGGCCTGCGGGATCCCAGCAAGCGAGTGTTGTATCGTATTCTCAACTAGTATACTGGCTTCGGCTGTGTATATGAAGGCTTCGGCTCCGTTGAGAATGCAATGGTACTCTACCTAGCTAGTATACTGGCTTAGGCTACGTATATGAAAGGCTTCGACTCCGCTATAGATACATTATGATAGTTTAGAAATTTAATTACAATAATAAAATAGACTTGTAAAATTAATATTCATCTAGAATGAAAAGGTATCGGAGGAAGTTAAAGATTTTTGGGAAGACAAAAAGCTGGACCAAAAACTCGTTACATTAGATAAAAAACGAAAAATAGTCGAGGTAACGCGTGGTTAAACTTTCAGCATCATAGATTTGAAGCAAATAATGAATTCTAATAAATTTTCAGGCTGAAGGTATTGTGAATTTTTTGCAAACGGGAAACGAACGTTTAAATGATACCTCAAGGATGGTTCATAAGTCTCAGTTAAATCTTTTGGAAAGAAATGAATCAAAAAAATCCAGAAATGATGAACAAGAAGAAGCGGAGGATACTAACAAGGTAAAAAAGTTCATTTACGCTTTTTCTTTTAGAAATATCTGGAAACGGTACAAACAGTGGTGTTTTGCTGCCATACAGCACTGAGATACTAATTCAAAACCGAACTTTCATGATTATTCGTATGTCACCCAGGATGAGTCAGCTACGGATAACAAATCTTATCTCTTAAGAAAAAGACGATATATCTATTATAATGAGGAATGTATGATAATATGAAGTGGGGTTTAGGGGCAGTCATCGCCTTTCGAGGCAGGCCTAGTGCGAAAAAGCTTCACTTTATATTTTTTTTTCTGACCCTTTAGGGGGGCGTCTCTTTGAGGCATTTTTTCTACTCTTTTTCTCGGGTGTGGTCGTTGTCCTCTAAGCAAGGCGTAGTGAGGAGAGAAAGGTCGCGAAGACTTCCCGCGGTTTAAAAACCACTAAGCTACATTGCAAAGAGTGATTTAATTGTATCCACCGAAAAAAACTTTATTTCGTTAGGGTCGTGACCAATTACTTAGTTTTAGTACCTTTTTACTTTAGCATAAAACCCAAGCGGAAGCGCGTCTATCTACAGAAGATCAATTGCGAGAATATATTCGTTCCCTATGGATATCCGAGGATTTCTTAGCCAGCGATCTTAAATCGGTTAATAACTCTGAACCTATCGATATTATAGCTCCTCCATTTACATTTCTGGAAAAGTTTCTCGAGAAGAGATTACAAAGACAAATCGTTAAAAAATTAATCAATAAAGGATTATTCTCCTCATATGTTATAAAGAATAACACTTATTCACTAAAACTCGATATACTCTCCAATTCCCAGTTAGACATACTTTCAGATGCTATCTATAATGAACTATATAGAAATGATGCTAGCGAAAAATCACTGCCTCAAAACAGTCAATCAATATCAACTACCTTCGTAATACCTGCAGATTTTATGCGTCTTCTGGAGTCGGAAATTTTTGGTAATAATAACTCTGCTGATTCTACTACGTCCACGAGTTTCGATTTGGAGCGAAAAAAAATATGGGGAGACTTCGCACGTTGGGCATGTTTCTTCATTGGTCCAAATTTCAGAAAACAGTTTCGGGATCATAAGTTGAGCATGCATACCAACACGAAGAAGCTCAGAATAAACCGCTTGAAAATCATAATATTCGTGAAGTGTTTCAGAAGAACCCAAAGGATAAACTCTATATTGCACTAGAGACCACAAAAAAGGTCGCGCACGGTATCGATCTTGAAGGTTATCGCCACATCATTAAACCGCAATGTTTTAAGAATGCTTTTGGGGAAACAATCGTCGACTTCTTCGATCTCGCCAATCCTCTAGTTGCGAAAAATGCACGGAATGTAATTATTATCATACCCTTAACAACCCCACCCATCAGTCTAAACAATTCGCCACTAATATGATAGAACATTTTTGCAGTTTCACCGATAACAACAACGAACCTTATAGCCATTGCCAAGAACATCTCGCGTGCGTTCAGGAACTAATTCAAGGGCTCAAACCACTCTCAGATATAGTCAACAATTATTTTCATCATACCTATTCAACCCTATATACCAAGATGAAAAATCTCAATCTCGACCAAACGTTCCTAAATCATTCGGTGCCTTTCCTACCGTTGGTATCAACTATAAGACGATCTCCCAGTTTCATAGGGACCTAAAAGATCATCGAAATACGCTTTGCGTGATGTGTCCACTTGGGAATTTCGAAGGTGGAGAGCTGGCATTTCCGGAATTAAAATTAATCGTCCATGTTAAGCAAGGCCAAGCGGTGGCTTTTCGATCAAACCTCCTGGTTCATGGAAATCTGCCGGTCGTTGCTGGAGTTCGCCACAGCGTCGTTTTTTATATCCACAGTACGGTAATTAAACAAAACGAAAGTTTGGTTCTCTTTTCGCTGATTATTAGTTGGATTGGAGTTGTCGAGTTCTAAGTTGAATTTTTTGTCCTGCCAGATTGTTGCTGTAGTATAGTTCTTGGAAGTCACTATAGTGTTTCTGTTGTCATGTTTTGATTTCCATGATATTGTACTGATTGCTTAGGTGTACTACTGGGGTTGGAACAGTTTGTGAAAGTTGGGTGCAATGTTTAAGACAGTTGTGTATGCAACGGTCTATCATTGTGTTCATTTCTTGTTAGTATCAGATCTGTTTAATAAGTATTCTATCATGGGAAAGAGGACATGGTTTGTAATGTAATGGTGTATTTTGTCTGTGATTTGTTTTCTGACTATTGTATTGCAAATTGTGGTAACTTTTCTTTTAATGAGGCTGCGTTGGTATTGTTTTATTTTTTTTTTTTCATATCATACATCTAGGACTCTTATTGCTAGTATTTTGGCAGTTGTTGTCACTTGTGTTCTTTAAAAGTGATACTTTCTTATGGGCCATTAAGAATTAGGAATTCAGATTTGAAGAGGTTGACTGTGATGTCATTGAGGTGGTAAAAGGAGGCACTGATCTCCATAATATCTTCAAGTTGCTTTCTGTTTTGGGCAATGAATGTAGTGTTATCCATGTATGCTATTACAGTAATGTTAAGGTTTATAGGACTACTGTTGTTGAGGTTAGGTTTGTGACTGTTGAGCGGTAGCTTTTTATAGAGCTGATTGTATTTATTAAAGGGCCATAGTATATATACCAAAAAAGGAATGAGATTGTGTCACTCTAATCAATTCCTTCTTCCACTTGATATGAGTTGGTGAGCCCAAAATATGTAATTGCTTTGTTTGACCTGTTTAGAAAACAGCTATTAATTATATTGATTAATTTGTTTATTACCTTAATTTGTGAAGTAAGTTAGTTAAATCTTTATATATTGATAGTATCATATGCTTTGAATATATCTTGAAAGAACATGAGACATTGTTTATTCATTTTCCATGCACTTCCAGACTTGGTTTATAATAGTAATGCATTCATGAGTACTGTTTTTGGATAATGCTACTCAGTTGTTTTCTAATAGGATTGAATATTTGATTATTATTTTGAATAGTCTATTATTAATAAGTTTAGTGAAAAAATTTTTGATAAATTTAAGAAGGGTAATGAATTAGGTGATGTTGATATTGTATTACCAATCTTTTGGTTTGGATATCAGATATATTGAACCTACTTTTCTTTTTATGAATATTCTCTCATATATAAGGATGTTATTGAATAGTATGGTTATAGTATCTGAGATCTCTTTATTAAGGTGTTTATATGCAAGGTAAAAAATTTGTAAAGGTCTAGGGACTGATTTGTTGCTAGAATTTTTAATTACTTGTTGTACTTCTTTAGTAGTAAATGGACGAGTATAGGCTCGTACTATTCTTTATGAATAGTAGCAATGGATTGATATGTATTCTGCAAATATATACCTTATAGTTCAAATATATAACTTTTTTCATCCAGTTACTGAAATGTAATTGAACTGATTTTTTGATTTCATGGGGTTTGTGTATTAATTATCTTTGTGTTTTCCACCTCTTTAATAAGTTTGGTTTTAAGGATGCCCTTCTTGGGATTATCTAGAAATAATCTTATAAGTTTTTTCTTATCTATATTAAATCAGTTGTTGTAGTTTCTAAGAGTTTAGTCTATGTTTGCTTTGATGGTATTATGTATGTTTTATTTGTTGATAATTTTTTCTAGGACAATTGATTTGTCGATTTTTTTATTTATGACTTTGATATTTTTGTTTGATAAGAATAAATTAGCACTTGTTTACAAATGGCTTTATATTAATTGGCAAGTTGTTCAAGATTGACTCTGGTATCCTATTTACTATAGAAATTGATTTGCTTTTTGTATTATAACAACTGGATAAAGAGTAAGAGATTGGTTAGCTTCAAATGTTTGGGTTTATTTCTTTATTTTTTTTTATATTTTTGAATATATTTGTTGATAGTATTGAGGATGGATTGTCTGAAGTAGTTCCAGCTTTTGATAATATTTGTTGATTCTGACTTAAGAAGACTGAAGTGTTGATATTTATGTGTCAAGTTCTGTGGCAAAGACATTCTATTATTTATCTGAAGTTTTTTTACACTGGAAACAAATATTTGTATAGAGTTATCTGTTTCACTTATAATTTATTTCTAATTGTCAACTTTCTATATATGTTATCTATAGGTTATAATTAATTGTAATATTCGTATTTTTCATTATAAATACATCTATTGTATATCATTTGAGATGAGTATTTAATAAATTATATCAATTCTACTTGAGAAGGTTATGAAATGTCAAGCATATTCTTTTTTCTATAAGTTGTAATATTGGTATATATCAATTATTAAAGGTTATAAAGTTGTTCATAGAAACTATTCATTTCATTTTATGTGTTTTTCTATTGTTGGAGGCTTTGTCTATTCTATTTGATAGACTTATATTAAAATCTCTTCCAATAATAATATATCAGTTTATGTAGTTCTATTGTTTGATCTATCTAATAATTTGGTTTTATATGGCTATCCTAAGTTTTTTAGCTATAGCTAGTAAATAGATATCAATAATTTTATAGTATAGCTTGTTTGGGAGTGTGGAGTCTATGCATATAACTTTGTTCAAATACAATATCTTTGTATTTCAATACCTAGTCAGATAGGAGTTTTTTGATTGTACCTCATATACTAATATCAATATGGTATCTTTTCCCACTACATTAAATAGATTCTGTTTTCCAGTATTTTGTGTTTATGCTTATTCCATTTGTTTCTGTGGATATGATTATGCTCCAGTTATTGGTTTATTATATAGTTAACTATGTTTCTTTTTTAAATATATCATTTAGATCCCTGCAATTTAGTATTATAATAATCTAGAAGAGTTTTTTTATGGAGTTTTTGAGTTTATTCATTATGGTATCTAGGTATGATATTTCTGTTATGTAATAGTGATTAGTGTTCAGATTATTTGTTTATTTGATTGATACTGTTATTTCCACTATGTTTTTCTTTATTTTATTTACTAATTATATTTTTATTTGATTTTTATTGATTTTTTCTGATGTATTGGTATAGTTGTACTTGTTATTTTAATAGTTATTGTAAATAGTTCCATCATCCAATTTTATTGTTGTTGGGAAGTTGTTCTTATTGTTATTTTATTTATTGTCATTATTGTTTAAATTACCTATATTATTGTGAAGTGGATTGTGATTGTCTCATGTTGTAGAGAAGGATTTTGTAATAGTTAATACTAGCATGTTTATTATTCTATCCATGTACCAATAGATTTATGGAGTTGTTGTTATTGTTATTGAATATCTTAAATATTTATTTATTTGGGAGCTGATTCATCAATGATAATGTCAAGTATATTAATTTTCTGTATATATTTAGCATTAGAATAGTAATATTGTTTCAGATTGTCAATGCATTCATTAAGATTATTTGGTGACTTTTTGATTGTTATAAGTTCATTATAGATCATATTTAGCATTGAGAGAATATTATTAATTGAGTTAAAATTACTTTGCTGGTCTCTAATGGGATAAATTAATCCTCTAGCTGCAAAGATATATGATTCTAGTTTGATTGATTTATTTTTAGTTAGGATGTATATGAGTTTATAAATATGGATGAATTTAGCTGGTCTGAAATAGTTATATAATTTCTTAATTTATAAGCCTGTTTCTTATTGTACTTATTTCATTGTTCTCTCCACTCTTTAATTGTACAGTTGGCTATAAGGTATTCAGGGTTGTTACAAATGTTGAATAGTTTTGTATTGATAAATTTGCAATTCAGGAAGGTCTTATTGAAGTTAAAAGTTTCTTGCAGTGCTTGTTGGAGGAGTTGTTTATTGTTGAAGCTAAGAATTGCATATTTTTTGAGTCTGTATGATATCAGTCAAGATATATAACATATTTTGCTTTTAGTTGTTAACATATTTGCTTGAGATCAAAGGTATGGATTTCTGATAGGTGATTATTTAATTTTAGAAAAAAACATTTCTTTTTTTTTATTTATGTTAGATCCTATATTGTGTCAAAGATCCTTATTGAGTCTGATTTGATCAGAATACTTTAGGACTCAAGTAACTTGAGTTTATCTTCCTTGTTTATGAATATGATTGTACTGACTGTCACATTTATTGTATTGTCATTTTAATATTGATTATCTATCTGAACTTGAAGAACATCTATTATATATTAATAAATTTTGTATTCAAAGGAATATTCCAAACTTTGATACTCTTTTCCTTATCAAGTTTGCGATAATTTTAGGAAGTAGTATTAGTATGAAGTTGTCCAATTCTATTAGAATAATATTGCTAGCTTCAGCCATAAATTGTTAATCACTGAAAATAGTAATTATGTGGTCAGTTTCTTCTATATATTTGTTTTAGATTATGAGAAGTCCTTTGGAGAAGTTAAGAGTCTTGATGAAAAAGGTAATTTTCTTTTTTGTAGAG